ATGAAAGATAACTTCTGTCTCTCATCATCCTTCTTCCTGGATTGTTTTTGTTTTCTCCCCAACACTTACAATTTACTGGCCCCAATATTTTTAAATTCTTTCCTTTTAGGATGTGGAGATGCCTAGATGCTTCCTAGATAAATAAGGAGAAAGAAAAGAGAAAGAAACCAGTTTTTGCTATCCAATAAGGGAGTGATGGTGGAAGAGAGAAAGTCCATGAAGAAGACAAGAGATCAGGCAAAGGGACAGAAAGAAATGAGGGATGTATCTTGCTCAGACCTGGCGTGTCCTTGGGTCTCAGGACTTAACAGAGAATTGTCCCATACTTCCTGGTGCCAATATTTTGATCATAGGTATCAGCTGAATGGTGGCATTCACAGCTAGCTTTTGTCACCAGGCTGTACATTTATTCTGTGATTGCAAATTGATGTGTCCTGTTGTCATCGCTGAAGGGCAACCTAATAATCCTTCAAGGAAAAACACAGGCACATTTCTGGCTTTGCAGTCTTTGTTTTTATAGGTTTTTTTCCATTGGGCTTGGCCCAGGAAAGGCAAATGTTTATTTTCACTGAGCACAGTCAGAGCACTCTTAAAAAGTGATCCTGCTGATTTACAAATGTGGCATCGGTATTCAACCTTTTCATGAAAGCTGTGCTGTTCTGATAGGAGGTGTGCATTTTCTCTGGTACCGTCTGTTCATTTTGATTTCCATTAGATCTATTTTCTTTTCCAACACTCGAAGTTTGCTTTGGGAGAGAAATTTCCCTCAGTAACAGGGGATTTGTTGAAAACAGCATTAAAGGAATGGCCAGAGATCTTGTGTTGCTAGGCATCTGCTGTTCAGCATCTGTGGCCTGTGTACAAGGTGTGAGGTAGTTTCTAGTGTTATATATTGTCTTACATAAGAACTAGTTTGGTATAGTAGATAAGAGAGTCAGTTTGGTGAAGTGGTTAAGACGTCAGGCTAGAAATGGTGAGACCGTGAGTTCTAGTTCTGCCTGAGGCACAAAGCCAGCTGGGTGACCTTGGGCCAGTCGCTCTCTCTGAGACCTAGGACGAAGCAGGCAAGGGCAAACCACTTCTGAAAAACCTTGCCAAGAAAAATGCAGGGACTTGTCCAGGCCAGGAGTCAACACTGACTCAAAGTCACCAAGCAACACATAGTGGATAAAGGCACATACAGGAGACCATGAACTCTAGTCCTGCCTTAGGTACAAAGCCAGCTGAATATCTTTGGGCCAGTCATTGTCTCTCAGCTTGAGGAAGAAGAAAGCAAGGCCAAAACACTTCTGAAAAATATTGCTAAGAAATCTGCAAAAACTTGTTAGTATAGTCCCCAGATGTCAAGACTAACTTGAGGGCATAAAAAATTAAAAGTACTCTTACATATTGTTTTAAATTGAGACCACAGATCTGTTTTCCACATTCATACATTAGAAAGAGCACATGGTATTGAAAAGTTTTATTCTCCCTGTAGTTCAATACTGCCTCATATTTAATATTAAGAGGTGTCCAGTTAACACTAGTCTTCGGTTTCATTAATGCCAGTTGCAAATAATTAAGTGGAAAAAAAGTGGTGCATGTAGCCTTCAAAGTTGGCTTAGGTGAGATGGTTTGTCTTATATGACCACAAGGGCATCTGCAGGGTGGGCCAAAAGTCAAGGAGCTGTTTGCTACTGCACCATCAAAGCCCCCCCCCTTTTTTTAGCAAATATCACTTGCATGTTAAAGTGAGGGGAGGGAGCTTCAATAGCACAGTGATGACCTCCATCTTGACTTTTTCCCCCATGGATGTCCTAGGAACATTTGGAATGGCCACACCAATTAGCTTTCAGTATATGACAAATTGGGTATGAAAATGGTCTTAGGGAAACCTCAGTTCTGTTCAAGGAATAAGGAGCAGGGCAATCTGAAAAAAGAGGGAAAATACCACAGGAAAAAGACAAATACATTGGGGACATCAGGTGGATAGCCTGATTTTACCCATGGAATTCCCAGAGAAAAGATGAAGACAAGCAAGGAAGCAGCCTAGCTTGCTAAGACATGTATCTCCATTTCCCTGTCTTCTGGGTGCTGTCAGTAGGAGTGAACCTGTCTTAGTGTTTGAACAGAAGATAACTGGAGCCCCATGGAAGAAGCTAGGCTTTGTACAGAAAAAAAATGGCCAGGAAGGAGTGCCTAGCTGTTTTTATACAAGGGTTGCAATGACTATTAATGCTGCATTTATACATTAGCAGATCCAGGGCAAAGAAATAACATGCAGTTAACTGACACTGAATTAAAATGACTTAATTAAATACAGTTAAAATGGTTATAGCTTGTGTCATGTATTTCTCCGATAGAGGATTGCATTCTCCCTTGCTAAATGCCCAGTGAATTTTGAAACCTAGGAAACTTCCAAGAGCAGATTGTCTCATCCTACAAGGAACTCTCTGGATCTCAGCCAAACCCACCAAAAATGAAAACACTGGTATTCCGTGCAGGATCACTTTCAGTGACCAAATCAACAGAGCTTGCAATACCATGGAAAAACCTGAGGCAGGAAGATTTGCCTAATATGTAGCTGATTTCTCTGAGAAATCCAGAAAGGTGAGCTGCTTGGATGGAAATGCAAAACATAAAGCCAATTGTTCTTTACTAAACCTAAGCTTTTTGCTCATAGAAATTTCACATAGTGAACTGAGACTTTTCATCAGAATGCAGAAACCTGAAAACTTTTGAAAACTTGCAGCTTTTCCTGTTCTTAATTAATTGACATCTATTAGTTACATGTCAACTGTCGTCTCATTTCCAGACAGACATGAAAACATTTGTGATATCGTACAATGGGGAAAGCTACAAATGAGAGAACTCCTTGACCATTCTTCAAAGCAACGGTCTGTAGGCATGAGTCTATGGTAGTATGTATAGTTATAGGGGGGTTTTTTTAATAGTTTTTTTTTTCCTTCCAAAAGCCACTTAAATGGAACCCTTTGCTGGGAAATCAATCATAAATGTTTATATAAGAGCCAAAATAAGCAAGACTTTCCAGACCAATAAGCCAATTTCCCATTCCATTTATATTTCTGACTTCCCCCTATAATGGAATGGATTATGGTGTTGGAGAAGTATTACTCTTTTCTCATACTTTTTTTTTCCTAATTAACAATGCAATATTAAGCATTCTACTCAAAAAGAAGCCCACTGACTTCAACAGGGTTTATTTTAAAGTAAATGTGTGTAAGTTTACAGCCTAATTCTCTCTCTCTGAGGCAGAATTTATCTCTCCATATTTTCCAGTGCACCAAAATGTCTGCTGTCCCACGCTTATGAATCCTCAGGAGATGCTCTTGAACTTTTGCAAGCCAGTTATCAGAAAACAAATGTTCTTCCACTGTAACCAAAAAAGTTGCATGGATCCTTTCTATTCTCAGCATTAGTCATTTCTGGACTGCAGACATTTAGATGACCATAGGATGGCAGTAAAGAGTTAGGGTTGTCTGTATCTCTCTTCTACCATCTAGTGGTCATGAAGTCCAGTAGCCCTATCCAATATCTAAAATCTTGCAGCCCAGTAGCCCTACCTAATACCTAAAATTATTGGGCTCTATTTGTCTTAGGACAAAAGTTAATGGCCTCAAGGAATCATTGTCTTTTTTAAACTAAGTTATATCCTAACTTAAACAACAAGAAGACACACACACGCTGACTGACCAAGAAACATCTTCTATTAAGACTGCCAGATCTGAACTGCAAAATCCAGACATGCACTAAGTGACAGCAAAAAAGATACAGAAAATTCAAGCTGCCATCCATTGCAGGCCAGATTTGGTGGCCTTAGCTTGTACGTCAGGCCTAGGCAACCTGGTGCCCTCCAGATATTCTGGACTTTAATTTCAGCATGTCCAATGGTATGAGATTTCTGGAAATCAGATGGAGGACCTCAGGATGTCCATATCTGCTTTATGTTTTCATTACTATACAGTCTCTCCACTCCCTCCACTCCCAACTCTTACTGCTTTCATGGAAAAGAAAGCATACATTCATGTAAATATTATCTTTACTTCCATAAAGATAACAAGATCAGAATTGCAGCAGATAACAAATGATTGACTCCCTCTTTTCTCCTTAGGGGATTGATTAAAAACATCTATGCAATTGCTAACTAATTTGGCCTTTAGCCACTACTTCCCAGTAGGTCTCCACTAAGTGCTGCATGAAAATCTAAGAAAGATCTTTCCAGTCTTTGCTGCAATATGTGACAAGAGAAGGCAGACAAACAGAAGAGGTTCCTGCCATGCTCCTCTTCAAGGCAAAGGGCACCTTTAGGTCATGAGCTTCTGATTTACCCAAGGGAAAATACTCATAGGAGAAGATGATGTTCCTAAGTGCTTGTTTTTATTTCTTTGAAATAAGCTTTTTTAAAAAAAGGAAGGAAGGAAGGAAGGAAGGAAGGAAGGAAGGAAGGAAGGAAGGAAGGAAGGAAGGAAAATATAAGCCTGACCCAATTAAGTCTGAGTGGATTTTGTGAAAAAAGTGCTGCATGAAATTAATGTGTCTTCCCAGAGTGCTCAGAGACCTAGGATTCTTCAAAGGACTGAGATTCCAATGAAGGTCAGAATCCATAGACTCCCTTTTAGTGTTCTTACTTTGTAAGGAATTATAGACCAAGTGCTCCTTACCTTGGCAACCTGGTAAAATTCAAGAGTAAACAGTCTGTGCTTAATACAGAAATTAAAACTGATTGCAGGCATGGATCTGGCCCAGGTATTCCATGTCAGAATTTGGGCTGGTTTGTGCCTTTTCTTTTTCACAAAGAGGGAGAACCTTGGCCAACAACTTTACTAGGTGAGCCCAAAGCTTTACAAGGTGGAGGCACGAATGCCCTTTTTCTTCTCATCATAGCAATAGTGCAATATCTGATCTCAGTTCTTACCATGGATATCAAATCACTTGAACATCGACTTTTTCTAATCCCCCACTCTTTTTTCCTTTTTTTTTAAAGGGGGAAAGAATCATGTGAACTGAGTGCTAGTCTCCAGCACCTGGATGAATTGTGAAATTTTGACTGGATTTACCCATAGCATTAAACCATGGGTTGCTGATTAAGCCATAGCTGGGTTCACCCCATACATTAAGCCATAATGTGCAGATCACAATGGCTGAGTTCAGACCACATGCTAAGCTAAAAGTATGCAAGCCACATGATAACCTAATGGGTCTATGAATCTACTGTATAATCAGTCTGTCTTCACTTGAACATTGACTTCATACAGTATGTAGCCTGTTTGTAGTACTGGTGGAACAGTGGCCTTTAGCCTCTCCTCCAGGTCAATAAAAGTCTGAATGGGGTGAGTAATAAATTCATGACAAGCAAGGGATTTGAATCCATGTCTTACCTGTTAAACCAATCATCTGTATAGCGGGGATATGGGTATGGATCATTACTGCTAAAATCATAGCTGGCTTGAGCATTCTAGGAAACACAAATAATAGTAAAAATGGTTAATATCACATAGACTGACTGCAGGAAATCAAGAAAAGTATGAATAGTTAAGAAATTTTTATTTTCAGTCTCAGTGTAATTAGTATTTTGTAAGGCTGAATGTATGCACCTGACAGGTTGTTTTATTTCCTCACCTGATTCATTTAGAGATGATTTTAAAATTATTATTAAACAGAGAGAGAGAAGAAGAAGATGGTATACTGGAACATAAAGTGTCAGCTGCTTCCATAACTTTTATTCAGAATCATTCCTTTGGGCCCTGCATTAAATCCTATAGGCATTCTTAGACAAGGAAAATGGCTGAAACCAATAGTCACACACACACACACACACACACACACACTTGTGCTACATGCTCAGTTGCCTAGAAAGAAAAACAAAGGTAAGCTATGTGGTTGATAGTGAGCCTTCTGGATACCAGAAGTCTAGCTGAGAACAAGCTCCCCAACTGAACTCAGGGAAAAGAAGGTTTTAGACTGCTTTCTAATATCTGAATATGTTGTTCTCCAAAATGTTGCCTTCCTTGGTATAACCATTATAAAATCTACTCCTAAGAATATATCTCCATAGCTGCAATAGAAACCAATTTTAGTTGATGCCCCTAGGCATCATATGGTAAGAGGCAAGGAGAAGAGAAGTCAGTCTGGATTAGATTTCTTGTGTTTCTAGTTTGCCTGACCTGACGACCCTGAATTTGCATTTTGAAAGAAGAAGGCCATGTTTATTTTAATGGGATTTTTTAAAAATTGGGTCTAGATTACCTCAGGGAAAGGGGTCTCAATTTGTCTCTCTCTCTGTCTCTCTGTGTCTCTGTCTCTCTCTTTCTCTCTCACACACACACATAATTTGCAGATGAAGTGAACCCTATATTCATGGCGAGAGCTGTATAGTTTGGCTTCAAGATGAAAGAAGGCAATTCCATCTCCAGAAGTAACCATAAGATGTACAAAAAAACAGAGTTTCAGGGCAAAACCTGGATTCATGCATCATGCTAAGGCACAACTTGTCTTGTTTTTAACCCTAATTTATTATATAAGCCACAATAGCTGGGTTTACACATAGTTTACATACCACAACAGCTGGTTTTATGGAAGGTACTCAGTCCAAAGCCAACAAACTGTATTATGGCTTAGCTCAATGTGATGCTCCTCAGTTTGTGTTGTATGACAAGAGGAAATTCTGGGAGAAACCAAATCTCAGTGAGACCATTCATATTTTGCATACAGATGTTCTGTTGTTCCATTTGTTTCCCCAAGCCAACAGGATCAGAGAAAGAAGTATTTAAAAGCCTGCTACCTGAAGCCCTAGATTTCATGACAGATTATATTGGTTTAGGCTGGCAAAGGAGCCTGGTACAAAGAGGTTTCCTCTCTTTGAAACTAATCCATATTGAATCCATCTGGATCAGGGTACTAGTGAGGTCTGCATTTTCTTTCCTGGTGCTCCTAGCCCAAGAAGGTCAAATCTTTCCCATCTATTCTGCACACTCTCCGTTACAGAGCCTACAAAGAATGAGCCCAGCTGCTTTTCCACTTTGGTTGTAGTGACATAAACAATGGAGAAAACAAATGACCAAATATGTATAATTAAATTTATACATTTGATTTCACTAGAGGGAGAAGTGTTTCTGAATAAGGAATTAAAAAGAAACCCATGTATTATTCATAGAAAGGATTTTAGCAGACTAGAGGAAATTAAATCCATCTCTAATTTGCTGAAATCTCCTCTTAACAAATGACAGATTTGTGCCAAATGCAAGCTCTCACCTCGTAAATAACTTTCAAGCGTTCCTGTTCTAACCTAAGATGTGTGATGCCATGCATTTCTGCCCATTGGGCAGACCTTTTGGGATTCTCCCTTTCTAGGCAGGGATGTCTGTCTTGTTTCTTGTGAGCTTTTGAAAGCTGGTTAAACCTTCTTTACTAAGATACTTGAAGGATTGTAGTACAGAGATTGACAATGCGGTACATGTGGACATTTCCCTTTGTTCATAGCAGGCTCCTTGCTTCATCTCGGTCCATGTCAGTCTGGTTTCACACCTGGATATTGTACAAAAGTAGCCTTGGTTGTCCTGATCAATGATTGGGACCCTGCTATGCTACCATGTTGATTCTTTGGAAACCACTGACCAGGGATACTGCTGGTATGACTAAATGGGTTGGAAGATGGAAACACAAGTGTTAAGATGATTCCAATTTTATGAGCAGGATAGCAACCAGAAAGTGATAGTGGAAGTTTTTTGTCTGATATCATGGTACTTGAGTGGGGGAGAGAAATTCCACAGGGAATTATTCTTTTTATTTATTCAAATAAATATATATGCTGCCTGACCCTCTATGAGTCTGGGTGGTTTACAAATAAAAATACTAAAAACAAGAAAAAATACAACAATAAGCAAAAATGAAAAATAAAAGTTGGCGAGAATGACAAAAAACCCGGACGGGAATTAAAAAATGAACCTACACCATCCAGTCACAACCTTTCTCCCCTGCTGTTCAATAGCTACTTGAAATCATTGGGGATGGTCACCCAGAGATCTGGAGTGTGGTGTAGTCCATATGAACATGATCCCTAACTTCTGGAGAAGCTACCGTTATGCTTGACAACTGTATGGAAGCCATGATGAACTGGATGAGGGCCAAGAAATGGAAGTTGAGCCCACATCTGGCAGGTTTTGTAGCTGAGTGATTCTTAAACAGATTGAACTGGATGAAGTAGCTTTCCCTTCAAAGAAATAGATACGTATCTTGGGGTTTTCCTTGATTCCAATCTGTCACTGTAGGCAGAGGCGGCCTGCATGTCAAGGTGGATCTATGTCCAGTTTCAGTTACAATCCTAATGACTTCACAGTTGAATTTTTAAAAATTATATATCACATTTATATAGCCACCCATCTCACACAAATGTGCAAATTTTTAAATATCCAAAGTTAAAATCATATATTAAGATTAATACTAAATTTGATAGCAAAATCATTTCACAATCAAAAGCCTGGTGAAAAATGATGCCTATACTGTATTCAGTAGAGCTTTACATAGATCATAAGAATACTATATACATTTGTGTCTTGACTCCTGGCTACTGCCTAGACAAATCCATGCAGTTTTCTTGGCAACATTTCAGAAGTGATTTGCCATTGTCTTCTTCCTACAACTGAGAGAGAGGAAGTAATGTGTGCATTCCTGGGAAAACTATGACCTGAAAACATCTATATTAAGCACCCAAGCCTCCATTCTGAATGTCTGTAGCCCAAGATCACAATATATGAATAGGAATGACTGCATACAAATCTTCTGCACTGGACACATGTCCATTCATTCTACTTCCATTTCCCCAGGGTGTAGTCTTTCTAAAGGAACACTTCGGACATCTTTGCAAGGTCTCACCTTCGTTTTCCAGCTACCTGGATTTAATTTCCATTTTCAGCCAAGTGGACAAGAATTCTCCTTTCACCGATACTCTGACACAGCAAGGAACAATCAAGTTCTTTTGGTATGATTCCAAAAAGGTGCTTCAGAGTGCTTGGAGGCAGGAACGTAGTACCTACCTGCAACTTTTCAAAACAGCCACACACAATCCCAGGAAAAGTAGCAGCCAACTGTTGCATTTGGGATCCTGCGTGTCCTGCAATTCTTTTGGGAACTGAATCTGAAGCACTTCACAGACCCTCCTTTTTTGTCCTATTTCTTCTTCCTCCTCCTAAGCCAAGTTGCTGCACACCCAGCAGACAAAAAAGGTGGGTAATAAGGATGTATGGGGAGTCACTTTTATATTTTAGTTGCTTTCTCTGAGTAGTGAGGTGGATCCCTGAGCAGGTACATAATAGTTCCTCATTCAAGGAGCAAATTATGTAGGAAAGCAGTGAATTTTGCTGCATCCCACCCCACCCCACCATCACCATCCATTGATGCATGGAAGATGTTTGATTGACACACAGGTTTGTAAGCAGGGTTTTGCTTGAATTCAGTGACACTTCTGAGTTGACATGCATACAGTTCTGCAGCTAGCAGCCTTCTCCACCAAAGTCTGCCTTCATTCAATGTTTCCCCCCAACACTTGATAAGCACAAAATCCACAGCTGTTCTCCTCATGTTCATTTTTTTTAAAAAATAAATGTTTCTCTTTCATTGTAGAACAGCTTTATTATTCCCTTCAGAATGTCTTTTATCTTGGAGAGGTTTTGCCTGACAAAATTAGTGGCTTTGTGTGAGTACTATGAACTAAAAAGTGAACCATGGAATACATTATGCCTGATATTTTAATGATCAGTTCAGAAGAAAATCTCCTCTTAGAAAAGAGAGATTATAATTCATGGAGTTTAAAGCATGGAGGAGAAAGAATGTCTTTCTTAAATATGCACCACTGTCCCTGGATAGATATGGGTGAATATGAAGGTATGCAAATGGACCTACTCAAGTCAGTGAATATTTGCTTATTTTAAAGAGGTGGTAATCCAAAACTGGATAATCGTAAGAAGACACAACCAAATACAGGAATACCAATGTGCTGGGGAAATATACAGAGAAGACAATTCCAACTATCCATCCTCAGTCATGTGAGATCACAAATCACCCTGGCTGGTGACCTGTTTGCCAAGCCAAGGTTTTAAAGCTTTTCTAAAGGAGAACAGAGTCAAGGTCAAATGGACCCCAGAGGAAATGGTATTCCAGAGGGCAGGAGGGGTGGTGAGGCATCCCGAGAAGAAGACCAAACAGATATTTCAAACAAGTGAATCAAGACAGAAATCATGTATTTTTTCAAGGGAGTAATCCTCTAGCAGATATTTATTAGTTTTATAATCCTTCTATTGCACTAATTCATATTCTCATCCCCTCTTTCCTCATCTCTTCTTTCATTCTCTCTCACACACTTCTATTCTGATTCAGCTTGGAGAACTGCATTTTACTGGGGGGGGAAATCTATTTACCTAGCCTCCTCCTGAATGCTGGTTTTACAGATGCTGTTTAGGA